ATCCAATAAAAGTATTGTGGGTAGGTCTTTCCTCTCTGGAAAATTGTATGATGTGAAAATATTTCTGCCTTTCTATAGGCAGAGAATTTTATTTATTTATTTATTTGTTTATTTATTTAGCAAGGAAGGGATGCTTTGTTTTTGCAGTATTGTCAAAGAAAATCACGACGCATGTGCTGCTGTTTTCAGTTGCAATCATGTGGACTTGGACTCCACCTAAGGAGGTGCTTGGCTGTATGAGTGGTCCAGGAGTACACACAAGGCCACTGCCAAGGTCAACTGCTCTGTGACAAGCAGCTTTGTTCCCTTTCCAAGCAGCTCCTCCTCACCTCTTTCCTGCATGGTTTGTGCAGGCACTGACCAGCACACCCAGTCCTGGTGTGCAGCCAATTTTCTCTTCACTATCATTTTCCCTTAGCCTCAAGATGCCTGTATCTCATTTTCTGTCTGTGGATATTGATGCACCAAAATTCAGGATCCTCTTCCACACTTTTTGCTGCTTGGCATGACCTCCTGTAAACGCTGCAAACACCAGAGTAGCTGATAGCATTCAGTGGCCTTTTGTACTGATATTTCAGCCTCTCAAAAACTAGAACTGGCCTTATCTGTTGGCAGCAGTGCCTGAGGCTTTTCTTCTAGCTGCCTTTTTCTTCCAGCTGCCTACCAGTATGCAAAGGCAGAGATTTCTAAACGAACAACAGGTTTCCTCTTCTGCAGCAGAAGAATGGATTCAGGGAGAATCAAAAACTACCGCAGATGCAGGACAATACCTATTTTTATAAAATTAATAGACTAGATTATTGATGCTTCAGATTATTTGCATCCAATCTTATCAAACAATAGGAATTATTCCTTGCTGAAACAAAAAAAAATTAAAAAAAAGGAATGCTTTATCCGTGTTTTAGTATTTTCATTGATTCAAAATGTAGAAAAATCCATACACACATAACCTCAAGTCTTCTCATAGTGAAAGGAGGTGCAAACAGGCTCTGCTGGCTCAGCTGTGGTGTTTCACACCACCCACACCTCAGTGGCCCCTTTTTCTGTCTGTGTTTGTAGTCTGGGCAGTGGGGTTTGTTTGCTTGCTTGGTTTTTTCCTCATCCGTATTTTCATTGATTCAAAATGTAGAAAAATCCATACACACATAACCTCAAGTCTTCTCATAGTGAAAGGAGGTGCAAACAGGCTCTGCTGGCTCAGCTGTGGTGTTTCACACCACCCACACCTCAGTGGCCCCTTTTTCTGTCTGTGTTTGTAGTCTGGGCAGTGGGGTTTGTTTGCTTGCTTGGTTTTTTCCTCATCCCTTTCATCTT